GCACGTATACTTTGCCTATATAAGACATCAAATCTTCATTCACTCATTCATTCCTTCTTCTTTGGGTTTATGCGCTTGGTTTATTTCTGTGCTTATTTTCATGTATTAATATTGCTTTTTATTATTGCTATGGTTTAATTACCCAAATTTGAGTGGGTTTCACTCGCAATGAAGTACAATTCAACGCGTGTCTTCACATCGTTCTTCTGCTTCAACCAACCACATTGGAATAGGACTCAACTCGAATTTCATAATCAAAGGACCAACATTTCAACACAGAGTGTTGAATACCTCATAAGAATCTATTAGAATAAAGCTAACAAAAAAACTTTCACGACAGTTATATAATGAGTGAGTTAACAATGTATATTTCAGTAGTAAAACATAAGATTTATTCATTTTATCATCACTTCAAAAAATAAATATGAATTCAATTTATCGAAATAATTATGTGGAAGTAAAAAAGAAAAATATGAGTGTAAATTAAATTTATTAATTTTTTTCATTCCTAAGGGCTGACAAATAATTTTCCTCAAAGACTTATCAATCATCTGCACTGTTTATCATTTTTTCTCTCTCTCTCTCTCTCTCTGCCTTCCTTTTTTTTGGTATGATGAGAATTTGAGTTTACTTTAACATCAATTTTTATCACTTTGCTCTGATAATAGGAACACGAACGGGTTATCACATGTGTATTCTGGTGGTTTTTGAAGGAATATATTATCGGTATCTGACAATTATGATATTTCTTTCAAATGAATTAGTGGAGAGAGTAATGATTTCAGATTATTAAATTTATCCATGAATCATTATGATTACAATATTAAGATCAAGATTACAAAATATTTTACTATAATTTAATTATTACTTAGTGATGAAATTTCCTACATTGTACTATATTCATAACTTATTGCAAAACATCAAATATATTCGATTGAACTTTGACAGGCTCAAAGTGTGTATTGTAGTAATTACGAATTAGATGGATACATGCTATCAGATTGTCCAAAAAATTTTGCATTTGATGTAAAAATTATGCTTTAGAAATAACCAAATCGTTAGTTGCATTGAGAAGTAATGAGCCTAAATGAAGCTTTTAAAGGCTTCATCTCCTTATCTGCCAAAAAAAATTTCGAACCACAGTACAAGCATCGGTTTACAGTATTAGTTCATATATAAATTGCTGAAAGGAAAACGAAAAAAAAGGTTATAACGTGAATAACTTTATAATTATAATTATCATTAGTAAATCAAATTAATGGATCTAAAATTCCAATGGGCTTTTAAATTTTAATGGAATCAAATCAATGGATTTCTCAATTATATCATCATACAACGGTTATCAAAATATAACCGTACACCAGATCGTAATAATTTTAATAATTATTTTTGAAAATCACCATTTTTGTTTTAATCATTTATCATTCTGTTCTTTCAAAACATTTTGATCATTTGGTCAAATTTTTTTTTCGATAAACAGAAATATTATTTTAAACTGGAAGAAATAGTTTCGCAGAAATAAAAGAGGAAGAAATTTCTTATTAATGAATATTGCATGTTTGTCATTAGCTCGCTTTTTGTTTTTCCAGCATGCTTATTTTTAAGAATTTCGATAAGAGTAAATTAGTTAATGATAAAAATTACTGAAATAAATGAAAATTATTGACTGATCGAGTTGAAATAAATTATGTAACTAATCAGATTAACATTATCTGATTTAAAGAAATTATATGCCTCACGTGACATGAAAATGAAACGACGACTATGATTGGTGTATTTTTCCTTGTAATTTATGAGGAATGAAAAATTCTTGAATGACTAATCTTAATATATATTTAAAGTAATCTATATAT